TGTCCCCCCGCCCCCCAGCCACGCTCCGGCCCGCAGCCGCCAGCCAGTCATCCCTGCAAACTGCTCTGCTGGCCGCCTGCGCTTGCCGGTTGTTCCTGCAAAACTGCTCTGCTGGCCGCCTGCGTTTGCTGGTTGTCCCCGCAAGCTACTCTGCTAGTAGCGCAATGGTATAGCGCCAGGCTCCCCACAGCAACAGTGATTTCAGCTCTTCAGCAAGTTCAGCTCATAACAGAGGAGCTTCAGTGCTAGTGCTCCATTGGCCCACAGTGAAGTCAGCTCAGCAGCTCGCAACTAGACTCCTAATGGAATCCAAATTAGCTCTGATATTCCACAGTGGAGATAGGAGGGGGTGCAGTCGGTGTTGTTTAGGCCCTCAGACAGGGCCCCACCACCAGGTACAAAGACCTGTTCCCAGCCTCTCTCAACTTGACTGGATTTGGAACCCATGCCCCTTATCTAGCGAGTGCTACTTAGTTTATGGCTAATCCCTCTGTCATAAACAGTTCCACTATTCCATTGTCCTTGATTCACATAAACAGGGTAACAACACTTTATCCTCCCTGCCTCAATAACAGAGAGGCTGTGTCTACATTGGCAAGATTTTGCGCAAAAGCAGCTGCCGCCTGTCTACACTGGCCGTGAGTTTTTGAGTGTAGACAGCCAGCCAAGACATTTTGCGCAAAAGCAGTCTAAACGGAAAAAAGCCCTAGTGGCCACTTGGACGCTCCATACCTGCAGACAGCTCCGGAATTCCCATGCTTTCTTCTGTTCCCTGCAGCAGGACCAAGCAGGAGCGGGGGACCCTCCAGTCTTGCAGCAGCAGCCGCACCCCCAGCCGCCCAACCACCAAACTGGCAGGTCCGGCAGCAGGACCAGCTCCTTTGGCGGCATGTGCAGGCCGTCTAACGGGCAGAGGCAGACATGCAGTCGTGCCAGGAGGCCTGGGGCCCCTTCCAGATGCCATTTCCACCCTCACCACGCACATTGGCCATGCACCCGCCACCCCTCCCACAGCAAGGCTCGTGCCCTCTCTTGCTCCTGCTCCTGCTCCTGCCCCTTCTGCTCCTACTGCTGCCCCTCCTGCTCCTGCCCCTCCTGCCCACCTCCTCATGCTGCCTGCCCCGACGTGGCCTCACCCCCATGTGCAGGTCTGCCCCCACAGAAGCAGTTGCAGGGGCCACCCCTCCCAGCAGTAGCTCCCCCTTCCCAGTTGAGAGCCTCCTCTTCTCTCCCAGTTGAGAGCCTCCCCCTCCTCCCATCCTACATCTCCCCCGTCTCCATTGTAAATAAAAAGTTCAAACGTTGTGTTCCAAAAAAACCTGTGTTGGTTGTTTATTGGGAGGTAAGGGGAGGGAAGGAGGAAAGGGTTGGGGATAGGAGGGAGATGCAAAGGGAGACAGAGGCGACCCTACTATGGGGCCTGGGAGAACATCTCCATCAGGGCCTCCCGGATGTGCACCCCATCATGGTGCGCCTGGTGGATGGCAGCTGTGCGGGGCTGTTCGAAGGCCTGGCCCTCGCCTGCCATCCATGCCGGGAGGAAGGCCTCCCCGCTCCACTCCACGAGATTGTGGAGCACGCAGCACGTGGCCATTACCTCTGGGACATTCCGCTCACTCATCTCCAGACGGGTGAGCAAACAATAGAACCGGGCTTTCAGATGCCTGAAGGTGCACTCCACTTGATTGTGGGCCCGGTTGAGGCGGTCGTTGAACTGGGCCCGGTTGTGGTCCAGCCACCCCGTGTAGGGCCGCATTAGCCAGGGCAGCAGGGGGTAGGCCAGGTCCCCCACAACACATGTGGACATGGGCACGTCCCCGACAGTAAATTCCCGCTGGGGGAAGTAAGTGCCTGCCTCCAGCTTGCCAATCAGGCTAGAGTTGCGTAGGATGCAGGCATCATATGCCCTGACGGACCAGCCCACATAAATGTCCAGGAAGCGGCCACGGTGGTCCATGAGGGCCTGGAGTACAATTGAGAAATACCCCTTTCTGTTTATAAAATGGGCCACTCGATGCTCCGGGGCATGGACGGGGATGTGGGTTGCATCCAGGGCTCCCCCACAGTTGGGGAACCCGAGGGCAGTGAAGCCAGCCACCGTAGCCTCCATGTCGCGCAGGCAGATGTCTCTCTGGAGCAGGATGTCATTGATGGCACAGACGACCTGCAGAAGGGTGCAGAGAAACACAGGGGAACACATCACGTAAGGCAGGGTGAGTGCTTGCTCCCTTGGGCAGTTATATATTCCCCAAATAAAAATTACTGAGTTCATTGTTCCAAAACAAAATGTCTGGTTTATTTTATCTGCAGGGGAAGGGGAAGATGGGAAGAAAGGGGAAGGGTATTGAGGGGTGAGGGAGGAAAGGCACAAAGGTACCTCGTGGGGAGTCCCAGGGGAGTGTCTCACAGGTGGCCTCAGCTGAAACTCTCCCTCAAGGTCTCCCGGATGCGCACAGTCCTGATGGGCTTGCTGAATGGCAGTGGTGCCCAGCTGCTCAAAAGCACTGGTGAGCTGCTCTGCCTCTGCCCCCAACCTTGTCATGAAAGTCTCCCCCTTGTTCTTGCACAGATTGTGGAGAACACAGCAGGTCACCACCACCTGGGGGATGGTTCAGTTGCCAAGGTCCAAGTGTGTGAGGAGACATTGGACTCTCGCTTTGAAGCAGTAAAAAAGCACCCTCCACAACAACGTGGCACCTGCTGCGCCTGCAGTTCCAGCAGTCTTTCATGGAGTCCAGGTGTTCTGTGTGGGGCTTCATAAGCCAAGGGAGCAAGGGGGAGGCTGCATCACCCATGATGCAGATGGGCATGTCCACATTCTTGACCCTTATGGTGTGGTCAGGGAAAAAAGTGTCAGTATGCATCTTCTGGAACAGGCTGGAGTTCCGGACTATGCAGGCATAGAGCTCCTTCCCCAACCACCTGACGTCAATGTCCATGAAGTGGCCCAAATGGTCCATGAGGGTCTGCAGGACCATTGAAAAGTACCCCTTCCTACTGGTGTAGCTGAAGGCCCCGTGGCTGGGGGCCCAGATGGGAATGTGGATGCCGTCAATGGCTCCCCCACAGTTGGGGAAGCCCATGGTGGCAAAGTCAGTGATGAGGGAGTTGACGTCACCCAGGGTGATGACCCTGCACAGCTGGATGGCATTGATAGTGCTTATCACCTGTAAAAACATAGAAACACAGAATCCCAGGGTTGCAGGAGACCTCAGGAGGTCCCTGAGCTCAACCCCCTTCCCACAGCAGGAACAAGCCAAACTACTCCCTCCCTGGCAGGGCTTTGTGAAGCCAGGACTGTAGAACCTCTAGGGACAGAGATTCTACCCCCCTCCTTTAGGAACCCATTGCTGTGCTTTGCCACCCTCCTAGGACAATAGCAAGAGAGTCATACCTGCATGCGCACACCCCTGATAGTTGATCTCCCGATGGCAAACTGGTGCCCCACAGAGCGGTAGCTTTCCAGCATGGTGAGCTTTCAAAATGTGATGGCGACGCACTTCTGGAGGGAGATGGCAAGTTGCATGAGGGTGTCCCATCACTGCAAAGCAGGGCCAAACCACTCACAGAGCTCCAGGAATATGTCCTTCTGCATGCGGAAGTTCTAGAGCCACTGCTGGTCATCCCACCGCTCCATGACAACGCAGTCCCACCAGTCGGAACTGGTGTGCTGGCACCAGAAGTGGTGGTACATGCTGTGCTGGGGAAGAGGGAGGGGACTATGGAGTATGAGGAGCGCCTGGGCTGGGGTGAGGAGGTGCCCCAGTCTCAGCTGCCCGTCTTGGTCCTGCAGTGCCACAAAGGCAGCCTGCATTAACTGTACCAGGAGGTGTAGCAGGAAGTCCAAAAGTCTGTCACTGCTTTGCAGCAGGTCCAGCTCCATGGTAGGACTGTTGTGGCATCTGCAAGGTCAAACAGAGCACGTAGTGTGAGTTTGCTGTCCCCAAAGAAGGTAGGCAATGGAGAAGGGTCTGAGACACAGCTGTAGAAGGGAATCCCTTTAAACACAAGCCTAAGATAGCCTTAGCCACCAGCTACAGGAAGTGACTGCTGTCCTGATGCCCTTCCTGGAGTGCTTCCAGGGGGCTTTAAATGCGATTCAGCCTCCAATAAGTGTGAATGCTCTATTCTGATATAGATCTGTGCCATTTCAATGGGATTTGCGGTGTGGATGTGTTATTCCAAAATGGTTATTTTGGAAGTTATTATTTCAAAATAGCTTAGTTTGAAATAACCTTATAGTGTAGACAGAGCCTGAGAAACAAGGAAACCCAGTAAAGGCTACTGCATGATCAATACAAAAACCTTAAAAAATCAGTGGTCCTGTGTAGCATCTTAGAGACGAATGAAAATATAGATAATATCATGAGGTTCCATGGGCACAACCCACTTCTTCAGATGATGCATGATCAATAATAGTAATAATTGTAATAGCAAGCATGCATGATCAATAATAAACAATGTTTGTGCTCCCTCTGCTGGCTCTGAAGCAGCAGATCACTAAGCAAACACTTTCCAGAGATGAATGGGGCCTGTTCATAAATCAGAAATCATTTCAACTCCATTATAAATGAAGGGGAAAAAATAAAAGCAATATCAAATAAAAAGTGATAAAACTGTGTAAAATCACAAGCTTTGTTTCAGGTTTTACAAACCCCTGAGATTAAAAAAATATAGCAAAGTGGCTGCTCAATTAAATTTTAAATATTTTAAAATTAAATCCATTGTAAAAATTCTCAACATGAACTGTGTGCATAATTTATAAACAAAAAAAAAAGAACTAAATTTGCCAAATTGCTTATGAAGAATATTTCAGCCAGAACTATAAAATGTCTTCAGTTTTCAGTGTGTTTAGTTTACAAACCCAGTAACTCCCACAAACAGCTAATCTAAATAAAAAATGGCAAGAATCACCCTACTTTCTAGAGTGTAGTAGGAAAGTCTCATAACCGAGACTTCACTATTTTATAATTCTGTACGTTAAATATTGTAATATGAAATACAATGGAGATTAATCTCTCCTAGAATTCACAGTTACCAGGCAACTTTCAACAACAATAAAAACCTCTTCCAAAGTATCCTTAAATGTATGGATTATAGTTCTCCATCTATATTAAAAGAAGGAATTTCTGTTGCATCTGATAAAAAGTGATTTATGTTGCTCTACTCAACTGAATGGTCATTTCAGATTGCTGATTTCTCCATATACATTTCAAAGAAACAATTACTTACAAAATCAATTCTTAAAAGTTAAATAGTAGTTTTGAAGTAAATGAATGGAGTACAGTTTGTGATAGTTCATCCTTGATTTTTTTTAATTGGGCTAGAGTATGACTTTGTCTAGATGCACTCCCTGGAGCAGATGAGGGACCATACCGTGATTTGGCAGTGTCCCTCTTGCTCTAGGAGAGGATGTAATCTGCACCAGCCCTACCTTGTAAAGATCATTTCTCCCTCTGCACTAGCTCAGCTGGAATGGCTAGCATTTTGGTAGGAGGGAAAGAAGGCAGAATACAGGCCTTGCCTACTTCCCACTCTGGTGCATTCACCTGGATAGTGTGTAACAGCTTTGCAGAGAGTGCTCTCCCTCAACTATTGTCACTTGTGTCACAGGTGGACTGGACGGGGAGGAGCACATTAGGCTCCCTCCTCCCAGGCACATACATATAGCACAGGTCACAATCATGTCCTACGTTTGTTTGCTTGATCCCTGAGGACCAGACAGTGAAATTAAGACATGACCCCATGTTGGGTGTGGTATAGATATGCATTATCACAAGAGAGTTCTAGAAGGCAGAGTGCAGCCTTGAGGAGAGCGAAGCTTTGCTGCGTACTGTGGAATAGTACATAGTGACATAGTTTACCTTCTTCACACTTTGCCCCATTTGCTAGGGCTAACTCAATGAATGCATATGTGCTTGGGTCCCTGTGACAGATTGTGTATATCTCACACTGGGCTGGAAGGGGTTAATACACTGGCAGAGGTTCTCCAAGTGCTGGGCTAATATAAAAGGGAGCAATTCAGTTCAGTTTGCTGTGCTGCCTGCCCCGACGTGGCCTCACCCCCATGTGCAGGTCTGCCCCCACAGAAGCAGTTGCAGGGGCCACCCCTCCCAGCAGTAGCTCCCCCTTCCCAGTTGAGAGCCTCCTCTTCTCTCCCAGTTGAGAGCCTCCCCCTCCTCCCATCCTACATCTCCCCCGTCTCCATTGTAAATAAAAAGTTCAAACGTTGTGTTCCAAAAAAACCTGTGTTGGTTGTTTATTGGGAGGTAAGGGGAGGGAAGGAGGAAAGGGTTGGGGATAGGAGGGAGATGCAAAGGGAGACAGAGGCGACCCTACTATGGGGCCTGGGAGAACATCTCCATCAGGGCCTCCCGGATGTGCACCCCATCATGGTGCGCCTGGTGGATGGCAGCTGTGCGGGGCTGTTCGAAGGCCTGGCCCTCGCCTGCCATCCATGCCGGGAGGAAGGCCTCCCCGCTCCACTCCACGAGATTGTGGAGCACGCAGCACGTGGCCATTACCTCTGGGACATTCCGCTCACTCATCTCCAGACGGGTGAGCAAACAATAGAACCGGGCTTTCAGATGCCTGAAGGTGCACTCCACTTGATTGTGGGCCCGGTTGAGGCGGTCGTTGAACTGGGCCCGGTTGTGGTCCAGCCACCCCGTGTAGGGCCGCATTAGCCAGGGCAGCAGGGGGTAGGCCAGGTCCCCCACAACACATGTGGACATGGGCACGTCCCCGACAGTAAATTCCCGCTGGGGGAAGTAAGTGCCTGCCTCCAGCTTGCCAATCAGGCTAGAGTTGCGTAGGATGCAGGCATCATATGCCCTGACGGACCAGCCCACATAAATGTCCAGGAAGCGGCCACGGTGGTCCATGAGGGCCTGGAGTACAATTGAGAAATACCCCTTTCTGTTTATAAAATGGGCCACTCGATGCTCCGGGGCATGGACGGGGATGTGGGTTGCATCCAGGGCTCCCCCACAGTTGGGGAACCCGAGGGCAGTGAAGCCAGCCACCGTAGCCTCCATGTCGCGCAGGCAGATGTCTCTCTGGAGCAGGATGTCATTGATGGCACAGACGACCTGCAGAAGGGTGCAGAGAAACACAGGGGAACACATCACGTAAGGCAGGGTGAGTGCTTGCTCCCTTGGGCAGTTATATATTCCCCAAATAAAAATTACTGAGTTCATTGTTCCAAAACAAAATGTCTGGTTTATTTTATCTGCAGGGGAAGGGGAAGATGGGAAGAAAGGGGAAGGGTATTGAGGGGTGAGGGAGGAAAGGCACAAAGGTACCTCGTGGGGAGTCCCAGGGGAGTGTCTCACAGGTGGCCTCAGCTGAAACTCTCCCTCAAGGTCTCCCGGATGCGCACAGTCCTGATGGGCTTGCTGAATGGCAGTGGTGCCCAGCTGCTCAAAAGCACTGGTGAGCTGCTCTGCCTCTGCCCCCAACCTTGTCATGAAAGTCTCCCCCTTGTTCTTGCACAGATTGTGGAGAACACAGCAGGTCACCACCACCTGGGGGATGGTTCAGTTGCCAAGGTCCAAGTGTGTGAGGAGACATTGGACTCTCGCTTTGAAGCAGTAAAAAAGCACCCTCCACAACAACGTGGCACCTGCTGCGCCTGCAGTTCCAGCAGTCTTTCATGGAGTCCAGGTGTTCTGTGTGGGGCTTCATAAGCCAAGGGAGCAAGGGGGAGGCTGCATCACCCATGATGCAGATGGGCATGTCCACATTCTTGACCCTTATGGTGTGGTCAGGGAAAAAAGTGTCAGTATGCATCTTCTGGAACAGGCTGGAGTTCCGGACTATGCAGGCATAGAGCTCCTTCCCCAACCACCTGACGTCAATGTCCATGAAGTGGCCCAAATGGTCCATGAGGGTCTGCAGGACCATTGAAAAGTACCCCTTCCTACTGGTGTAGCTGAAGGCCCCGTGGCTGGGGGCCCAGATGGGAATGTGGATGCCGTCAATGGCTCCCCCACAGTTGGGGAAGCCCATGGTGGCAAAGTCAGTGATGAGGGAGTTGACGTCACCCAGGGTGATGACCCTGCACAGCTGGATGGCATTGATAGTGCTTATCACCTGTAAAAACATAGAAACACAGAATCCCAGGGTTGCAGGAGACCTCAGGAGGTCCCTGAGCTCAACCCCCTTCCCACAGCAGGAACAAGCCAAACTACTCCCTCCCTGGCAGGGCTTTGTGAAGCCAGGACTGTAGAACCTCTAGGGACAGAGATTCTACCCCCCTCCTTTAGGAACCCATTGCTGTGCTTTGCCACCCTCCTAGGACAATAGCAAGAGAGTCATACCTGCATGCGCACACCCCTGATAGTTGATCTCCCGATGGCAAACTGGTGCCCCACAGAGCGGTAGCTTTCCAGCATGGTGAGCTTTCAAAATGTGATGGCGACGCACTTCTGGAGGGAGATGGCAAGTTGCATGAGGGTGTCCCATCACTGCAAAGCAGGGCCAAACCACTCACAGAGCTCCAGGAATATGTCCTTCTGCATGCGGAAGTTCTAGAGCCACTGCTGGTCATCCCACCGCTCCATGACAACGCAGTCCCACCAGTCGGAACTGGTGTGCTGGCACCAGAAGTGGTGGTACATGCTGTGCTGGGGAAGAGGGAGGGGACTATGGAGTATGAGGAGCGCCTGGGCTGGGGTGAGGAGGTGCCCCAGTCTCAGCTGCCCGTCTTGGTCCTGCAGTGCCACAAAGGCAGCCTGCATTAACTGTACCAGGAGGTGTAGCAGGAAGTCCAAAAGTCTGTCACTGCTTTGCAGCAGGTCCAGCTCCATGGTAGGACTGTTGTGGCATCTGCAAGGTCAAACAGAGCACGTAGTGTGAGTTTGCTGTCCCCAAAGAAGGTAGGCAATGGAGAAGGGTCTGAGACACAGCTGTAGAAGGGAATCCCTTTAAACACAAGCCTAAGATAGCCTTAGCCACCAGCTACAGGAAGTGACTGCTGTCCTGATGCCCTTCCTGGAGTGCTTCCAGGGGGCTTTAAATGCGATTCAGCCTCCAATAAGTGTGAATGCTCTATTCTGATATAGATCTGTGCCATTTCAATGGGATTTGCGGTGTGGATGTGTTATTCCAAAATGGTTATTTTGGAAGTTATTATTTCAAAATAGCTTAGTTTGAAATAACCTTATAGTGTAGACAGAGCCTGAGAAACAAGGAAACCCAGTAAAGGCTACTGCATGATCAATACAAAAACCTTAAAAAATCAGTGGTCCTGTGTAGCATCTTAGAGACGAATGAAAATATAGATAATATCATGAGGTTCCATGGGCACAACCCACTTCTTCAGATGATGCATGATCAATAATAGTAATAATTGTAATAGCAAGCATGCATGATCAATAATAAACAATGTTTGTGCTCCCTCTGCTGGCTCTGAAGCAGCAGATCACTAAGCAAACACTTTCCAGAGATGAATGGGGCCTGTTCATAAATCAGAAATCATTTCAACTCCATTATAAATGAAGGGGAAAAAATAAAAGCAATATCAAATAAAAAGTGATAAAACTGTGTAAAATCACAAGCTTTGTTTCAGGTTTTACAAACCCCTGAGATTAAAAAAATATAGCAAAGTGGCTGCTCAATTAAATTTTAAATATTTTAAAATTAAATCCATTGTAAAAATTCTCAACATGAACTGTGTGCATAATTTATAAACAAAAAAAAAAGAACTAAATTTGCCAAATTGCTTATGAAGAATATTTCAGCCAGAACTATAAAATGTCTTCAGTTTTCAGTGTGTTTAGTTTACAAACCCAGTAACTCCCACAAACAGCTAATCTAAATAAAAAATGGCAAGAATCACCCTACTTTCTAGAGTGTAGTAGGAAAGTCTCATAACCGAGACTTCACTATTTTATAATTCTGTACGTTAAATATTGTAATATGAAATACAATGGAGATTAATCTCTCCTAGAATTCACAGTTACCAGGCAACTTTCAACAACAATAAAAACCTCTTCCAAAGTATCCTTAAATGTATGGATTATAGTTCTCCATCTATATTAAAAGAAGGAATTTCTGTTGCATCTGATAAAAAGTGATTTATGTTGCTCTACTCAACTGAATGGTCATTTCAGATTGCTGATTTCTCCATATACATTTCAAAGAAACAATTACTTACAAAATCAATTCTTAAAAGTTAAATAGTAGTTTTGAAGTAAATGAATGGAGTACAGTTTGTGATAGTTCATCCTTGATTTTTTTTAATTGGGCTAGAGTATGACTTTGTCTAGATGCACTCCCTGGAGCAGATGAGGGACCATACCGTGATTTGGCAGTGTCCCTCTTGCTCTAGGAGAGGATGTAATCTGCACCAGCCCTACCTTGTAAAGATCATTTCTCCCTCTGCACTAGCTCAGCTGGAATGGCTAGCATTTTGGTAGGAGGGAAAGAAGGCAGAATACAGGCCTTGCCTACTTCCCACTCTGGTGCATTCACCTGGATAGTGTGTAACAGCTTTGCAGAGAGTGCTCTCCCTCAACTATTGTCACTTGTGTCACAGGTGGACTGGACGGGGAGGAGCACATTAGGCTCCCTCCTCCCAGGCACATACATATAGCACAGGTCACAATCATGTCCTACGTTTGTTTGCTTGATCCCTGAGGACCAGACAGTGAAATTAAGACATGACCCCATGTTGGGTGTGGTATAGATATGCATTATCACAAGAGAGTTCTAGAAGGCAGAGTGCAGCCTTGAGGAGAGCGAAGCTTTGCTGCGTACTGTGGAATAGTACATAGTGACATAGTTTACCTTCTTCACACTTTGCCCCATTTGCTAGGGCTAACTCAATGAATGCATATGTGCTTGGGTCCCTGTGACAGATTGTGTATATCTCACACTGGGCTGGAAGGGGTTAATACACTGGCAGAGGTTCTCCAAGTGCTGGGCTAATATAAAAGGGAGCAATTCAGTTCAGTTTAGGCTGGACAATGGAGATGGAGGACCTGCAGCAGGATCTGCAGATCCTGACAGTGGGAGCCGGAGAGCTATGAGATTGGAATGAGCCTTCAGAGCCATTGGAGCCCCAAAGACTGACTTGCACCGAGGAGCTTTGTGGACTGCCCCAATGCCAGAGATGACAGGAAGTGATCCAGAGAGGGTGTGTGAGTGGCATCTCCCACCCAACTGAGCTT